AAAGAAGTTAAAAGGAGGCAGGAGGGGGACCCTTCCATACTCTGCATTCTTTGAAGGAAATGGGGTATTTCATGGGAGAAAAGGCCTTTTCTGCTTTCTACATAAAGGTGTTTTGAATCGCATCTTTAAAAAACACCACCACAGAACCCTGAGTTATCCAGGCAATACATAATTAGATTTTTGGTAAGTATGCTGTATTCACAACAAAATATAAAGGCAAACTCCTCTTTAGAGGGCTTGTGCTGGAGATTCTGCTTTACACAAGCGAAGTATGGATATTTTGTTTTCTTCCTCAGGAGTGTCCTGGCCAGAACTGGCTTTGTGTCACTTGTCATAAATAGACCCTTTGTGCTAAAGGTTTCTTCACCCTTTATTGCAGAAGGGATTTCCAGTGGTGGGGTGGTGGGGCTGAGCGTGACAGCAGTAGGCAGGGTTGGGTTGCCACCACTGAGGGAGAGTACCATATCTGGAGCTCCATTGCAGAGAGTGTTCCTAACACAAGGACTGATTGAGAGGGCATGTTTGGAGGGAAGAAAGATAAAGAATGTGATGTAATATGAAGATATTTTTTCATATGTTTGAGACTGGTAGTGGATCTGTTTGGAAAAACAAGTGATAAATGTATATGCTACTTTTTGTATCTATAGGAGCAGCTATGTATGTGCTGGTTACATTGAAGTGTTCTAACTGAAGTTGTCTGTTCCTGCCTAAATATAAAAACAACAGTAGATGTTTTTCTATTTTTTTTCCCCAGCAGATTCCTTGCACTGAACTCTCATGGAGGACCCTGTTGCAGTTCTTTTTTTTTCCCTCCTGGCAGACCTTTGGGAAATCCCACCATGAAGAAACTGAGGATGATAAAAATGTGAGTGTTGCTCAGCAAGGTTCTGCTGTTAAAACAGATTTTTAATTGAATTTAGTACTGCTTAGTGTTATTTAGAGACTCTCAGGACAGGATTACATTTGCATTTAATTTGAACAAAAAGAATAGAAGCTATAGATTGGGGCTTTTTTAGGGCTGTTTTGGCAAGTTTAAAAATGCTGTGTGTTTTAACATAAATAGATACACCTTTGTAACTATAATTTGGTGTATGTCAATAAGGCATGCAATGCATGTAGTGCAGTGTTCAAACAACTGAGGGGTGAGCAAGCCAAATTCTTGGCCTTAGCTCTTTAATAGCCTCAACAGATTATACAGTATTAAAAGAAAACATGTCTCTCAGAGAAATCAGACTGTATTGCAGGCTTCTGGGCATCTAGACAAGTTGAGAAATACCATCTGGAGAGACTAAAAGGTGCAAAGATTCACCTCGCTGCAAAAGTTAGCTTGCAGCAGCTCAATTTCCTCATCCTTTTCCATCTCTGGAATTACAGAGTGCTGGCTTATGCCACCTAATATCCAGATAATTATATGAAAACAGCATTTACAGATGTACAGTAATAGTACATTTCTGCATAAAACATTTTTGCT